TCGTTACTCATCTAAAAATAATAATTTTTAAAGAGTAATCTTATCATATTTATTAAGAAAAACTTACCAACGCATTAGCTGATGGAACAATTGGAAACCTTTGACTATGTATAATAATAAAATTTCAAATATAACTAACTAATTAACTAAATAGAACTAACAAAAGAATTAAACAACGATAATAAAACAATAAAACTATATTAAATTGAATAAACAAAGCGAATAACTCCAATATTTTACGTGAATAATAACAATTCAAATATTATATTTTAAATATACAGGGAAAATTTGATGGGTTCAGTATACACTTCCACTATTTAAAATAATTCTTCTTTTATCAAAGAAAGAAGTCTGCAATAGTAGTATACTTGAGCTATTAGTACTGAGAAGTAGGAATTGTTGTGTTGTAGGTTTCCGACAATGAATCTGTCAAAATATGCCCGAGCTAAGCGAATGGAGTATACTCTGAGCTCATGTAAAGAAGAAAAGAAAATAATAATTCTGATTGAAATACAAAAAAATGTACTGGCTGATTGACCAAAATTCTACGCGGTTTCTACGTAATAAATTATTATTATATAAGCAAATACTGAAACAATAGTATTATTATAAAAATAGTATAAACAGTTAGAAGGAAAATGTCACTTATCAACAGAAAATATTTCTATTCATATAAAAATTTAATCAAATTATATGCACTTACTGCTTATTTATATAAAATTTCCTCAATCGTCGTCGACTTTTTCGTCCGGAACATAAACGTCTTCGTGAACTACCTATTTTAAGAAAAAATAAACACACTGGTTTGTCAAAAGTCGGAATAAGCCCTAATAATGTTATTCAAACATTATTTATCCTCCTCCGAGGGTCTTACCTACCTGTTGGCGAGAATCCAGAAGCTACAGGCAAGGGCTGCCTGTGTTGACGGAGAGAGAATTACAGTTAGCAGAACTTTGAGATTTTTTAGAAAGTTCGTACCAAATATTCATGGTATAATAAACTACTGAGGTAACATATTGCGCACGGTCGCTCGACCTTCGGCCAGGGAGTGACGTCAGTTGCAGCGTAGCAGGTAGCAGCAGTGTTTCCAAACCTACTGATTTCGCCGCTTTTCTACCGATGTACCGCTACCGAATTTTATATTCAGATAGAAATTTTTACTTTTTCTTAAATTTGAGAAGAAATATGTAAGAGACAATACAATTTTTCTTGCGATACCTGTAATTTGCATTGAGCATTTTTGTGTACTCATAAAAACGTGTGAAAACATTCAAAAATTTATTCTTAAATGATACCTAAGCGGTCCTTTACAAAGTACATGATGTAATAAAAGCTAATAATACAATAATAAATGAATCAAAATCCATTGTGATCCCGACCGCTTGGTTCTGGGAATTTGTCAAGTATTAGGAGACTTAAAACCGGAACAACGCAATTTTAATCTAAGCTTCCGAGTGCACCACGTAAAAACTCTAAAAACTCGGTAGTCTGTTTGTTGTATAATATTTCCCTCTAAAAGGGTTTTATACTCGAGGTTTCAGTTCTCGGCTAAGTATTCAATTTACTAATGCTGGGTAGCAGCATTAGTTAGAAACTAGCAACCGAAGAGTGAAGTTATCAGTTTCGGAGTTTTCTCACAATTATATTTTTAATTTTTACGATATGCGTTGTGCGGTATTTGGCTGTTCCTCTGATAACCAGAGCAAGCGAAATCCTTGACCTGGCACGAGGTTTTTTCGTTTCCCTAAAGAGGAAAATCTAATTAAACAGTGGGTGCACGCCACCGGTAGGAAAGATAATTTAACCCAAAGACGGCTTATATTTGTTCAAAGCATTTTACAGAGACTGACTTTTATGTAAATCTTAAACATCAACTGCTAAATTATCGACCGAAAAATTATCGGGGTTTGAAAAACGATGTTGTTCCCAACAAGAATTTGCCTATGATGAAACCTGAGGTTACCACAAGCCACGATGGCGCATTAAAAAAAAGCGCAAAGAAAACAACTCGTTGATGAATTATTAAGCAGGTAAGTTAAATGTAACTTTTTCTGTGAGCGACACTCGAACCAGAAACCGGGCATATGGTTTGGAGTTAGAAACCCAAAATGATATTTTAAATGTCTGACATGATTTCAACAATGCGCGTTAAAGGCAAGAAATCATTGCTTCCATTCCAAAAAGGTAACACAGTATATCAAAGTAAAAACACATTTATAACATTTTACAAAACATTGTAGGTATTCCTATATCAAATAAGGCTCTGCAGTTGCTGCTTGAAGATGTAGGCAAACGCTATAATATGAACTAACTTTTGACGAGACGCTTAAACCAAGATCCCTTGGAGAATTTTTTTGGAGTCATAAGAGCAAAAGGTGGTTTGAACGATCATCCAACTTCTTTAGATTTTAAATACCGACTGCGTTCTTATTTAATGGGAAAAAATGAAGGTGCTTTTTCAGATTACTGTAATGTAGAAGACGATGGTACTCCTACATTAACTATGAGCGGTAGTATGGTAGAAAAGCTTGCTTAAAAAAAAACAATCATTGACACCAATCCCACGGATGGAGATGACATAGTCCTCTGTGAAGAACTCGATGATTTAAGATATGATGGACTAGAACATTTAGGAGGATTTATTTGTAACAAGCTTAAAGGCAAGTTACCAAATTTAACTAACCCAAGTTCGACGTCGTACACCTGGACCAATCATTTGACAGAAGGTGGACTATGTAAACCTTCTAATGAATTTATGGCTCATTTGGAAAAACTGGAGCAAATTTTTCAAAACTTTAATGGAGATACCATATTTACTGGCAAACAATATGTTTCAAGTCTGTTATCTGCAAGTGTTAATATTGATTGTCCTCAAGATGCTAAGAAAATATTTTTTCGATCGCGTATGTACTTCCGTATGAAAGATTTAAAAAAAAAATTAAAAATAGAAAAAACTATTGCATAATGTATATAGTATTATATTTTTAAACGCAAATTGTTTTAAAACTGCTTTATATATAGTTATTTAGCAAGAATATTAACGCGATCGTAATATTTATTTTCAAAATTGTCATCTGACTTGTGTAAGTGACGGTTGTTTTTAAGTATTTAAACTTAACTATATATTTACCAATTATGTATAATATAAAAATTTTGTTCCTTCTTAAAAGTTTATAAAAAGTGGAAGTATGTAGGTACCTAAATAAGTATGTAGTAGCTATATTTTTATACTAATACCTTATTTGTTCTAATTCGCATAAAAATTAAATATATTTGACTAAGAAAACATTATAAACATTCGTTTTTATTTAAAATGTACGAAGACAGTGAAATAATATGCAAAATATCCATATTTAGGATGACTAAATTACGAGTGCTTATGTATACAATTAAGAGCAATGTGAATGCTAAGCTGCGAGTGACGTCGCTGCGCAAGGTTAACGCGAATTTGCACTTCGGAATAGGTGGCCCTGCCAAATATTGTTTCATTTCAATGTTCATACAAAAAATATTGTTTAAACAATTTATTAATTTACAACCAAATAGTGCTCTAGAACTTTTTAAGACCTTTCATATAAAAAAAGAATCATCTCAATATCTCCATATTTTTTGCGTTATTTGATATAAACTTTTACATTGGAATTTAGCTATGCCCAGAATCGCGAGGATCGGCCTTAAAGTATTTATTCCCTAAAATGATTGACGAAATATACCAAATATGCATTATAAACATGCTACAAAACATTTCAACTCAACTACGACTACAGAAGGAAGGTCAAACAAAATCGGTTTTAGACTTATTGAAAAATAGTCACATGCCCACGAGTCGGAGCGCCTAGTGGGCGAGTCTCTGTGCTTTTACGTCCCCGAGATCACAAAAAAGTTGAAAGCGCAATCGGTTTCAGAACGTAGTTTTAAAAGATTTGCGCCGTTCATATTTTTTGACAAACTGCGTATATGCCCAAAAAACATTTGTCTCAGATGCCGCCTTTGAAGTTTTTCAGCACGAGATCGCCATGTTTTAGAGGGAAACATAGACTCGAATTGAGAAATTTGTGACAAGCTATGACAGAACTGTAATTTAAATTTTTAAGAATCAATAATTTAGTACATTTGAAATAATTTAATCTATTCTTCAACTAAAAGTACGAATAAAATAGTGCATATTATGTCTGTAGTTGCCGTAAATAAATTAAACCGAGTTAATTTGTCTATGCACACCAGGTAAAATTTCACTGAACAGCACTGGTTCCGTTTAAAACATGGCTGATTCCGTCTGCGCGAACAAGATGCGCGTATTTATTTTTTCAAGCAGAGTGGGCACTCTGATTTTTTATTATTCTGTGGTGATGTTCTAAGTTTAAGATCTTGTTCTGAAGCTATTTTCTTGTGGCATTGTAAATTAATTACTATTAAACTGGAATAAGCCACAATTAAAGATAAAAATACGTTTATTGATGTTTCAATTTCCACTTCGGAAATCGTTCTCAAAATACAAACAGTAAATTAAACAATTTTGTTTTTTTTTTTTTAACAAAAAACAAAATTTGTTTAATTTACTGTTTGTATTTTGAGAACGATTTCCGAAGTGGAAATTGAAACGTCAATAAACGTATTTTTATCTTTAATTGTGGCTTATTCCCAGTTTAATAGTAATTAAGTTTAAGATCATTTAGAACTTTTTATTGCAATGATATATCTTTATAATGTTCAATTCATCAATACCATTTAAATTTATTTTGATCCAGGTTGGAAAAATATTTTCTCCGTCTTTCATCTAGCGGCGGGTGATCAGGAGGAGGGAATAGTCGAATTGGCGTTTCAAACAACAGGTAAAATTATTATGGAGCTATATGAAAAGCAGTTTCCTACGATGATCGATTCGTTCCAAGACGCTGTCAAATGTCTGTCGGAGTTCGCTTGCAATGCGAGGTTTCCAGATACCAGCATGGAGGCTATTAGGCTTGTAAGAGCTTGTGCCTGTAGCGTTAACGGTGCTCCACACTTGTTTGCAGAACATGGAGGTAAGTATATCTTTACTGGCCTATATCCGAACTTAATGTCAAATGCCTGATGTAACAGATGTCAAATAATTCAAATGAACGCATTGGATCATTGACCGTGCATTTCGAAAATGAATTGCTAAAATTGATATTTTAACGTTATAGATAGTTTTTTTTTGTATATAATTAAATAGAAGATGTCTCTCTTCATTCCTGACCTCCCCGGAGAGAGTGTAGTGGTCACGGTGAAGTCGTGTATTGTCCGTCTCCAAAGATCTATGTATCTGGTCATTTCTTTTAACTCCTGTGTAGGTCTTTTGCATATTCCTGTAATTTAATCGATCCATCTTGTTGGAGATCTCCCTCGTGATCTTCGGCCTTCTACCTTTTCTTGGATAATAAGTCTTTCCAAGTTTTCTGTCTCTGCTCTCATAACATACCCAAAGAATTTCAATTAATGGAGATGGACGTTGCTGGATAGCAGTTTACTGACTTTAGCTCATTTAGAATTGAATTATTTCTAGGTAGGACTAGATGATTTTATGGAAGATATATTTTTTGTCCAGGCTTCTTTTTTACTCTGCTTTAGGACATATCTGCAGTAAGCCCGTAGTCTCTTTAAATTCCAATTTATTGTTTAAGGTTGAGTATTTCTTGAGCTTGCAGAAGTCTCTTTTGGAATCCTTTGTAGCTTTATTACATACAGCATTCCACCAGGGGATTATGATTTTTTGGGAGAACTACAAAGCCAATAGATTTATATGCAGCAGAAGTTATGCATTGTCAAAACTCGGTACTTTAAAGTAAATTTCCACCTCTTCTTCAAAAGGATGGTTCAATCTAGATTCTAAAATTAAGGAAGAGTAAAGAGGCCAATTGGCATTTTTCAATGACCATTTATTAATAGGAATATATAACGGCCTGTGGTTAATATTAGATAGTACCTAATATAGGAAAATGATATAAATAATATAATAAGACAATCCTATAAATAAGACATAACTTCCCAAGATATTGTGTAACAATAAAACACACTGAAAACTTTGTTTTCAAACTTCCACAAAATATATTATATATATATATCACTACAGCTGTTTCGGCTGATTGCCTTTCTCAAGTGATCTATTTTGGCTTGGGTTTACAAATTTATAGTCTCTAATGAAATAGGTTGAGGAGGGGAGAACTGTTTGTCTCAAGTTGGTCATTCAGAATTATATCTGTGTTTTTTAATTTGTTTATTTCCATAGATTCTAACAAAGATAGCTTAAGGCTTTTATTTTGAATGTGAAGAATTTTAAATTTGTCATTAAAAGAATGATTATGATCTAGAAGGTGAAGTGCGTATGTCGAATCTGTTTTTCTATTCTTGAAAGCCCTTTTATGTTCTGCTATTCGTTTATCAAAGTTTCTACCCGTTTGACCGATGTAAGTTTTTGGGCAGTCGCCACATTGAAGTTTGTACACACCACTATTTAAGTGTTTTTTATTTTGACTCTTGTTATTTTTAATATATTTGCCTAGGTTGATATTTGTTCGGAAAGCTGGTGTTATTCCTTTCTTTTTTATGTGTTTGGCAATATTTGTTGTTATTTTGCCTGTATATGTAATCGAGCAGAAGGTACTGGGTTTTTTCTCTGGTGGTGGAAATACTAATTTCAGGACTTTCTTGTGTAGTTTTTGATTTAACATTTTATTGATTGTTTGTTCGTTGTATCCGTTGTTTACTGCTATTTGCTTAATTATATTTAATTCTGTCTCAAAGTTGTATTTTGACATCGGAATTTCTGTTAATCTATGTAACATACTATGATAAGCTGCCAGTTTATGTTGTGTTGGATGGGATGACGAATTGTGTATACACGTATGACGTGTCAGTATGGGTAGGTTTATGAAATATGGAGAAGTCATGTTTGTTTTGAAGTCTGCTAATTTTTAAATCTAAAAAATTTAAGGATTGATTTTGTTCTGTTTCTATTGTAAATTCAATATGACTATGAAGTGAATTAATATACGATAAAAATTGGTCGAGTTGCCTGTTAGTTCCTGTGAAACATACCAGTACGTCGTCTACGTATCTCCACCAATATAAAAACTGTTTGAATACGGGATGTTTTCCATTCAAAATAAAGGCCTTAAGCTATCTTTGTTAGAATCTATGGAAATCAACAAATTAAAAAACACAGATATAATTCTGAATGACCAACTTGAGACAAACAGTTCTCCCCTCCTCAACCTATTTCATTAGAGACTATAAATTTGTAAACCCAAGCCAAAATAGATCACTTGAGAAAGGCAATCAGCCGAAACAGCTGTAGTGATAATATTTAAAATAAATTTTGTGGAAGTTTGAAAACAAAGTTTTCAGTGTTTTATTGTTACATAAAATGAATTTCCATCAAGTAACGGTCGAATCCATCAATTATTCCCAAGATATTGATAGTTGCACAGAAGGTTCACAAACAGATAAATCTAGTGGAGATTCATCACCTGTAGAAGTATTAAATCTGGTTATGCGTTCGTCACTGAGGATATTTATATTAAGTTCTGATGTAATTTGTTTGATTTTACGGCCTAGAGAGTCCACTTTTTTAGCTCCCCATGAATAATTATGAGCGTTGAAATCACCTATTATTCGAGGTTAAGGAATCGTTTCAAAAAGATTAACTAATTCATTTTTAGATGGATCTTAGCCAGGGGGATATAGAGATTACAGATACTTATCATACACATATCACTTATATTACAGAATTATGGCTATTGCTTCAAGACCAGTTTTTAAAGGGGTTAAGTCAACTTCGAATGATTTATGGATATAGATAGCTACACATTCACTAGAATGGCATCCAGTCGTTCTATTCTTAAAATATGGTGTATAATTTTTAAGATTTTCCTTTGAAATGAGTTTCGAATTTCCTTTGAAATGTGTTGCTTGCAAGCATAGTATGGATGGATGAAATTTATTTATAAGAATTTTAAGATCTTCTAAATGGGGATGGTGTCCATTTAGGTCCTATTGAATAATATAATTCAAAATAGTTTAATTAATAAGTCTACGGAGAGGAATTGTTAGGATCATCGGTAGAACTATTACTTGAAATTTGTTTTGTAATTTTGGTTTCAATTCTGGAACAACAAGATTTAACATATCTTGGACTCAACTTAGGATGTATTTTCTTTAGAAAGTCTATCAATCCTTCGATATCCTCCGAATAAATTCTGGCTACAGTGAGATGATCTGAAGAACCACGTTCATTTTGAAAGAAATCAATAAGTTCCTCCTGTGTTAATTATCCATTGTTAAAGTTTTCTTTGAAGAATTGACTGGTACATTTGGTAAGATCTTCTACTAGGCTTCTGTTGTTTTCTTGTTATTTTAGGTTTTTTGCTTCGTGGCTTCGGTTCAACAAAGGCATTTCGTTAGCTCTTCGTTTAGGGTGCTGGGATAATGATGTATCTTGTTCTAAGGTATTCATTTGAGTCTCATTTGGGTAGGTCGCATTCTATCGGAGTACGCTTATTTGATTGAGAGGTAATGATTTTTCTAGACTTGTCAGCCTCAGTAAGAGAGAATTGTGTGGAGGAATTTATCGACAAAGGAGCTGATTGTTGTACTGTAGTTTCAGTCTCAGTAGGAGAGGATTGTGTAGAAGAAATTGTCGAAAGTAGTGCTGATTGGTGCACTTCCTGTAGAGAGTTTAGATGAACAGTATTTTGGGTATTGTTTGAAGGAGTCTGATTAGTTTTATTGGGACACTGAGATGCAAAATGTCCTTGCTGCTTGCATAAGGAGTAAGATTGCTTTTCGATGTAAAAGAAAATTCGATAGTTGTTATCCTCGTGGTTAATTAACATAGAATCGGGTAATTTGTCTAAGTTAGTTTGCGCTATAAAAGGGTATCGTCGGAAACTTCAGATATGTTTTAATGCTGGATTTGAAGTCCGTATCAGAAGTGATATGAAGAAAAAGTCAATTGGAGTTATTAGATGTATACCTAAGTTTTTCAGCTGTTCTTCTATAATGCTGTGCGGAATACTTGGACATACGTACTACAATCCCATTGTCGTTTGCTAGAAACTCATCAACTGTATGTTCACTAGTAAAGAAAATACAAATACGATCATTTATAATTTCAGAAATAGAATGTAGTTTTCTGGGATCAACTTTACAAGTTACTGCATTAAGGTAAACTTCAGTATTAGAATTTGGGAGTGAGTGAAGTATAATTGCTTGTTGTTTGTCTGGAAATTTATTTGTTGGTTGATTAAGAGCTGTAGAATATAATTTTTATGGTTGGTTTACAAGTAAATAGCCAGAACTTTCCATGGTGGAAGATCCTGCTGCTGAATCCATTTCCGTTCTTGGGTTAAGTAAACTGAATACGGACCTGGTGATTATAATGGACGGAAGAACTGGTAATTAACCTCACACCAAATCGGCGAAATAGTTGTTTACCCTTGATTTGTTATAGATGAAATAGGAAAATCAAACTTATAGTTTTTAGTCCAGAAGAATTAACACTTTTAGATTGCACTTTTGTTTAAATTTTAGATATAAACCAAATTCTACATTTGAAACAAAAAAAAATTTATTTTATCCAAACTAACGAGCTAATATTAAATATTAATTATCGCTAATTACTGAAATGTTTACTCTTCGGAGGTTCGAACAGATCTTAAATCTTAGAGTAATCTTAAACAAATTTTGTTTTTTGTTACGTGGTGAAAAGTTCTCCTAATAATTTAATTTTATCTGATTCATGTATATTCACAATTCATATATGACATATACTATACATTTTAAAGTAGACGACTTTAGAATGATATAGCTATTATTGCTGAATTGCGTTCCTGAACGACTTTATTGTAAGATAGTTCATTTGATAAGTCCCTTTTAAGATTTTTATGCTTATAAATTCACTATCTACTTATTTTGTACATACTTACATTTCATGCAGCTTAATATGTCCTTCTTCGGTTACCGAGGCCGCATATTGCGTTTTCTCAAATAAATATAACAAAGTATTAATTTTAAAAGTTATTAATTTCTTTATTTTTCTTTTTAGGTCTTGAAACTGACATAACCGTATCAGAGGATGATAGAGTTTGGGTACGTGGCTGGTTTCCACTTTTATTTTCTCTCTCCTGTGTCGTTAATCGGTGTAAATTAGACGTGAGAACCCGAGCCCTCACAGTACTTTTTGAAGTAATCAAAACGTATGGAGATACTTTTAGTCCTCATTGGTGGAAAGACCTTTTTAAAGTTTTGTTTAGGTAAGATTGAATTATGTTATTATTTATTATTGCGGTTAATCACATTGTTTGATGAGTCCGCGAGATGGAAAAAACTTGTCAAAATATTTACTCTTTATATTTTGACGCGGCGAACTTCATGTATACCGCCTTACAATTAAATAATGTGTCAAAGTTAAATAAGCTTCTCATTCGAGATTGTTAAGTAACAGAAATTTCTGGCTAATATAATGAACCCGGCCGAGGTGTCAATAGCAACTTTTCCATTTCCAATATCTAACAACTGCTTTGAAAACACAATTGCACTTTGATCTTGTTGCAAAAACCCCCGTATGATATTTGTTCATTGGAGCGTCATTACGTGCTGCTACAAATTTGATGATGTTAGCATGCTGTAAGTATGTCTGCAGCAGTTTGTAACGAGATCGCATCCTTCAACCTGTAAACATTCCTTTACACAAAGTGTAAAGAGAATTGAAGACCCTACACCATAAGACTACCAAAGAGAATTGAAATACTATTATAAAAATAACACCTCAATCAACCATGGGAGCTTATCGTCTATGCTTCGCCTAGCTTAGTCTCTCAAGTGTGAATCCGTCTTGTCTTAAACTATGAACTAAACAATGAAAATTCAGTTATTAACAACTAAAACAATGAAATAACTAATCATATTTATTTAGCATAAAACAAAATAATGATATTTAGTTTGCACAAGTAAACCCTGTCTATCGCTTTACAATAAAATGAAATGATACTTATGGCATCGATAGGTTGCTTGCTTCTGTATAGGATGTTGTTGTCTCCAGATTATGTGGGTAGGTTTTAGGTGTTTGCCATTTGAGTGGCCTTGAAAATAGCTGCAGTCTTGGTTGGTTTTATATTTGGTTGTCTAAACTATCCCATAAACCCAAATAGATTTCTGCAGACGATAAAAAGAACCTTATTTCATATTTCGTTCGTTTATAAATTTTAACTACACACAAAAAAATGACCCAAGAGCAACTGTGGGACTCTACTGGACTTCAGTTTCTCTTCCTCCAGGGAAGCGAAAATTAGATGAATAGATTATGAAGAAAACAAGCGTGAATCAGTTCAAAATCATAATAGGCTTCCTTACTGGTGTCAGTCAAGTGACACCTGCATACAGTAGGACTGTTTCATTGAGACTGGAGGCTGCAGATTCTATAGCAAAGATGATAACATTCAACCATATGACTGTACATAATAATGAATAAAAAGTTTATTTAAAATCTTCTATAAAAGGTATATACTTATTCCATGTAACAAACCACTGATGATGGACTCTTTAGTCCGAAAACGTTCTGTGATGTAACCCGAAAGGGATTTTAAATTATATACCTTTTATAAAGGATTTTAAATAAACTGTTGTGTTTTAAGAACAAATAAATCTTGATGAATTAGCAGGGTCTCGTTACTGGGTGGTGGAGTGTGGCTCAGTACTGGGAGCCATTGCATAGGGGTGTATTTGATAACACCAGCAATAATTCTCATTGTATTGTTCAATTGGGCACCTACTTTATGTGTATGTGGGCTGTTAAGCCAGGCTGAAGAGCAGTATTCCGCGGTTGAGAAGACAAGACCCAGGGCAGATGATCGCAAGGTGGAAGCCGATGCTCCCCATGTTGTGCCGCATAGCTTCTGGATGATGTTGTTTCTGGATTTAAGTTTTTCCGCTGTTTTTGACAGATGTTCCTTGAAAGATGGGGTTCTACCAAGAGTCACCCCAAGGTACTTTGATGTTTTATTGTAGGCCAGTGTGGTGTTTTCGAATTGGACGTTCAGTGTTCTTCCTGCAAGCTTGTTATTTAGATGAAAATTGGAAACCTCTGTTTTGGTAGCGTTTGGTTGGAGCCTCCATTTACGGAAATACTTTTCGACTGTGTGTAAGTCGTAAGGATTTCTTCTGTTTGTTCAATTAACTTACACCTTGTTGCAAGGATCCAGACATCGGCGTAACCAAACTCCCTTGATCTGGTTCTTGGTATGTCAGCGATGTACAGGCTAAAGAGAAGAGGAGCTAGGACAGATCCATGAGGCAGTCCATTCTTCAGTTTTCTTGGGGTGCTGATGTCGGTTCCCATGACTACTTGAATCGTTCGGTCGGCTAGCATGCTGTTGATTATTCGAGCGGTAGATTTACAGGAGATTTTACGGAGGAGCTTGTATATCATGTTTTCTCTCCAGACTGTATCGTAGGCCGCTGTTTAGGTCTATGAATGCGGCTGCAGTTTTAAGTTTTCTCTGGTACCCTGTCTCAATAAATGTGGTAAGTGAAAGAACCTGATCTGCGCACCATTTGGAGGGTTAGCTGGTTTGTGATTGGATTGGCATATATTTTTGTGTTATCAGCGTAGTCAACATTTTACTTGAGACAATAAGAAACATCGCTGGTATAAACCGTAAAAAGCAGATGTCCAAGGACAGTACCCTGAGGCACTCGACTTTCCAGTAACCTGTCCTGTGAGAAAGATTCGCCAACTCTAACTTTGTAATGTCGATCTGTCAGGAAATCATCTATCCAACGAAGTAAAGTACCGGGAACTTCGACATGTTCTAGCTTGTATAGACGTCTGCGCTTAGGTACACGGTCAAAGGCTTTAGATAAATCTAGATGAACAACGTCGACCGGCTACGAACTGTTAAGGATGATGCAGTCGTTAACACAATGTAGGAGATTGGTTAGAATAGAGCAACCAGAGACAAATCCATGTTGTTCTGTTGGAATAACATGTTCCTAAAGAATGGAGAAGGAACTTGGTCATCTCCTCGTACATAATAACTTCCATAACTTTGCCAACTACTGGCAGAAAGCTAATCGGACGATAATTGTTGGGGTCCAGTTGGTTGTCTTTTTTAAGAGGGGTGACGAATGCTAAATTCCAACTAGGGGGTAAGGAGTTCTGGATGAAAGAAGGATGCATAATTAACGTTAAGATTATTGCTAGCGTGTCTGCGCATCTTTTTAACAGTTTTGGTGTTAAACCATCTAAACCAGATGAAGCGGCTGAGCGAAGTTTGTATTTATGTTGATATGGAGCTTCAGAATTTCAGAATAAGCCTATTAGTAACAGACCGCTTAAAAAATAATAATAATACTAATACTTTGGTGAAATACTTCAACAAAAATGAACATTTATGATACAAACTGACAATATCACTTAAATAAAAAAAGAAAAGCTCAGTTTGTTCTCTTGACATTCGAAACTGACAACTATTCATTCAAGTATTACTATTATATTTAACAAAATCAGAACTTTAAGCCATTTTTAGAACTGCATTAACGAGTATACAAAAACATGGACGACTGAAGTGGTAAAAACTATTGGGAATGTGTGGGAGGAAGCAAACTTAAATATAATTGATCTAAATAATATGCCCTTTTGATACCGCGAGTACTTGACAACAAATAATGCACTGACGTTTGCCTTTTAATTCGATGAAGAAATATTGACTTTCCCATTTTCCTTGGAACGTACGATTCTCTTTTGCGTTTTTTTTTGGCACTACTTATTCTGAATTTAACATTCAATTTATTCGCATTTGTTAATTCAACACGACACGTGCAGCTGAATAAAGCTAACTGCCCGCTCATTGGGAGTGGGTGTTCAAGGTTAACTACTTTCTTAAGATTACGGATAGTTAGACAGGGTTGGAATAGGTAAAAATTATCAATAGCAATATTCTTGAAATTATACCGCAGTTTAACAGCCTCGGGCTGCATGCGGCTCGCGTGCCTGAGGTTGGACCACACTGAGTTAAATAAATAGCTCCGTTTCCGTTCATACTCCTTTACCACTTCCCCTTAACTATATCTTTCATGATGGTTTTAAGCTGACGACCACGGTTTCAGTGTATGCGGTCGCCCCCTTAAGGATTGTCTTGAAGTATAATAAACGTAACCAAATCTCCCATTTGAACTGTTCTTCTATATTCTTTGGTTTTACATATGACGAAGTACATTTGTTGTTAATATTGACGCCTTGAAACCTAAATGGCCATTAGTAAATAACAAGTTTCTTAAATTTAGTAAACTATCCTAGATTCTGTTTATTTCAAATAAATAGTAAATAATAAACTTGAAAACTTTATTTTAGGATATTCGATAACATGAAACTTCCCGAAAAACAACCCGAAAAAGACGAATGGATGACAACGACTTGCAATCACGCCCTTTATGCTATAGTTGACGTTTTCACACAGTATTACGATGTACTAGGTCCTCTGCTTCTAGAAGAACTGTACTCACAACTTCATTGGTGCGTCCAACAAGACAACGAACAGCTCGCTAGGTCCGGAACCAATTGTTTAGAGAACTTAGTTAATTCGAACGGTAATAAATTTACAGAAGGGACTTGGGAGAAGACGTGTCAGTGTATGTTAGATATATTTAATTCGACGGTGCCATCTGCTCTGCTGACGTGGAAACCAGAATCTATGAAGACTACGGCTGTGATTGAACAAAATGGCGATATTGGACCTAATAAAGGTATGCAACATCAATTTTATTTATTTATTTATTTTAATGCACAACAGGCCTTAAACCTCTTTTTATTTTAAAATTCCATTTATTGTAAATGTTCCTCGCCTGTTCTATTCGTGTTATTATTTCTCTATCTGGATCCCACTTATCATTTAGTACTATTCCTAAGTATCTGAATTTGTGTGAACATGTTATAATTGAGTGTTCTTTAGGTCAATGCGACAATTTTCATCGGTTTTTCTAATTATTATTACTTTAGTTTTTTTGAAGATTTATTGTTCACTTACATTAACTCTGTCTAGTATATTTTTTGAAATGTGGAAAGGTTTCAGAAATGCCATAGAAACTAGAAAGAACCAGAACCGAAAAAAAAGATCATCAAAAGAAAACACTGGATGACAGACAGAACGCTGCAACTTCTTGAAGAGCGAAGGAGAATCAAATATATATATATCAAAACGACAGCAACAAAAACGAATTAGCAAGGTTAAATAGAGAAATTAAAAGAGCATGTAGGGATGATAAAAATAAACATATAAATGAAGAATGCGAATAACTAGAGAGACATACAAACCGGTATGAATACCATGAGCTATATAACAAAGTCCGATATCTACCCTTAGAAACGACGAGAAAGGGATTGTGGAGGTAAGGAGAAAATATTGTCAAAGTCTATATGCAGATGATCCCCAGAATGCAAATCACGATGAGTTCACTGTAGAGAGAGAACCAAACATTCTAAAGTCAGAGGTAGAAAAAGCAATCAAAAAGTTGAAAAATAGAAAATCTCCTGGCGGAGACCAGATCACCGCAGAAGTTTTAAAAGAGACTGGAGATGTTGAAGTAAATGTTATGCGTATGATCTGAAGAAAGATTTGGGAAACCGGAGATTTTCCCAACGACTGGACAACATCCACTTTCATCCCTATATTCAAAATGGAACTCCGCTAGGTTACAGCAACTACAGAACGGTAACCCTAATATCCCATGCAAGCAAGGTTCTACTTCATGTAATGAAATACTTAAAGCTTTTCTATTGCCTCAGATATCAGAAGAACTAGTGGGATTTGTCCCAGGAAACGGCACACGAGAACACATCCTTAATGTCAGACAGCTAATCGAAAAAACTCATGCGAAAAAATCATGAATGTGAATTCAATACTCCTATGCTCATGTGCTTGGTGGATTACACAAAGGCCTTCGATAAAGTCAAATGGCAGCAGCTATGGTCCATACTAGCGGAAATGGGAACACCTCACCATTTAATTCAACTAATTAGAAGTCTATATGAAAATAATAAGTGCACAGTAAAAATAAACAACACTCATTCCGATCATTTCAGAACAGAGGCAGGTGTTAGGCAGGGATGCATAATCTCGCCAACTCTGGATGGAATGGCGGAATATCGGTAGGAGGTCAAAAAATCAATAATCTGAGATATGCTGATGACACTTTAATAATCGCGGCAAATCAAGAAGAAATGGAAGACATACTGAGATGTCTGGAGGAAAAAAGGAGTAAGTAAAAACATATGGACTAAACCCATGATACAAATACAAACAGATAAGATACCGCGCATGTGAGCGTGGCTTATGCATGACTTTTTTGACGTCAACTTGTGCTAAATTTCGCCATATTGTGTTTTGACGTTTATGTACATTTACGGTTCATAGCCAATATTTAATAAAATAATATTTTAAAAGTGTTACAAGGCTTTAAATTTTTTCTGATATAAGGTGTGCAGTGTATGGTTTGCCGTTGACAATATGTGCAAGAGTTTTGTACCCGGTACAGCATTTTATAGCTTTCCAAAAGACAAGGAAATGCAAGCTGTTTGGAAACATTTGTGTAAACGCCAGGATAATTTTAATGTTAAATTTGCTCGTGTTTGCTCTAAGCACTTTGTTGAAAGTGATTGAAGTGATGAATCAGTTATTCAGGTTGGCAAAATATAAAACAGAAGTCAGAATTCAGAGGTTATCGGTCGTTCAGGTTGGCAAAATAAAAAACAGAAGTCATCTACTTTATAAGTTTATAGAAGACGTTTCGCTTTATACGCTTTATTCGCTAACTTCTAAAGCTTCATCAGTTCTAACTCAATATGTAGTATTAAAGATTTTATTATATATGTGCTTAAGTTTACTCATTATTTAGAACTAACTTTCTAACTAACAGTTCGTTTCATCCGCAAGCATGAATACATTTTGAAAATTTAGCACAAGGTGACGTCATGCGCGTGAGTGTACGAGTTTAGTGCGTGATAATATCATATCTGGTATCCTTATATCATGGACTAAACCTAATTAGGAGTAAGACAAAGATCATGATAGTAGACAGAGCTCGGAATAATCTTCAACACACTAAAGAAATTGGGGGCTTTGAAGTAGTAAATAGTTTCATATACCTGGGGTCCCTAATTACAAATTACAGAGAGTGTGACAGAGAGATACGTAGAAGGTTGACTATTGCTAGAGTAGCTATGATGAAACTGGTAGCAATTTGGAAAAATTCTAGCTTAACAATACACACAAAACTAAGGCTGGTAAGGGCGCTCATTTTTCCCATAGCCACATATGCATCCGAAACGTGGACCTTAAAGAAAGCGGATAAAATAAACTGGACGCTTTTGAAATGTGGGTATACCGCCGCATGTTGAGAATATCCTGGATTGATCATCGCACTAACGTATCGATATTAGAACAACTTAAAGTAAAGGATAAATTGCTGAAACAGATACAACAGAGATATTTGCAGTATTTTGGACACATTTCTAGAAGAACAGGTACGATGGAGAAAACTGATAATCGAGGGTAGAGTTGAAGGGAAAAGACCTAAGGGAAGATCTCCAAGCCGTTGGGTAGATCAAACAAAAATATTGATTAACCAAGGGTTATATGAAGCCGAATAACTAGCCCAGGACAGAGAAGGATGGAGGAAAATCGTGAAAAAATTGTTAAAGGCCTGATGGTGTCACCACATCCCAAACGGGATTGAGGAGGAGGAGTATATTTTTTAAGTCATCCATTTTTTCTGCTCTCAGAACAGTATCGTCTGCATACCTGATATTATTAATATAATTACGTTTATTTTTATACCAATTTTGGCGCTGTCTAGTGCTTGTAAAAGAAACTTACCAAATAGTTTTAACACCTTTCATTCATCTTATTAATTTAATTTTATCAACTGGAGTATTTCCGGAAGCACTAAAATACCAAGGAAGTTCTTGGTGAAATAAATATAAATAAAAATAAATCATTCCCAAATGTCTCCTCAATCATATCTCCTAAAACTTGACCACTGCAGTAATTAGCGTACAGAGGTGCCACATGCTTTGGCGGCCATAAACGAAAACGATTTAATAATATCGTTTTCTGTCCTCTGGGCTATACGAAATGTGAAAAATTAAATCTTTTAGCAAAAGCTACTATCGGCTTTGTTGAATAAAATATCCAAATATATGACTTAGGAGGACAAATTCGTTAAACTTCCCCTTGAATCGGTATCAATAAAGTGTTATGAATAATTTCAGTATATCCCTGCCGCATCAGACACTTATCGAGGAGTACATCGTGTTGCACACAATCAAAAACACGAATAAGGTTACAAAAAATGGTAGTTGGATTTTTACTGTTTTCAATTGAGATTAAAACTTCCTCATAGAAACTGTTAATAGCTGTGGAAGTAGACAATTTATTTCGAAATTCATGTTGATGCTTTGTGATAATTTGGTTGATATCTAAAAATGATAAAAGTTGTTTTAGCATTGCATATTCAATAATCTTAGATACCACAGATGGAACAGACAACGGTCGACAATTTGACATTAATTCAGGATCACCTTGTTTTAAGACCGGTGAAATGATAAAAGTTTTCAGCATACTGCGAAATACACCAATCTTGAAAGAAGCATGTATAATGTGAGCAAATGGTGTCAAAATTTGAGACGCAATTTCTTTAATTACTATACCTGATGTTTCATCAAAACCACACGATGCTTTGTTTTTAATTTTATATTTTATTATGTCTAAGATATCTTCCTCTGTTATATAAGATAGGAACAAACTATTTTGAACAAAATCGTTGGAATGCTGAAAATTAAAATTTGGTTTAATTATTTTACTATTTTTTTTTATATCTTCTGGTGCATCTATAAAGTAATCATTAAATTTGTTTGATATTATATCTGAATCTATAATCCTAGTATCATATTTTTGCGATTTTTTTGTTTTCCATTGTTCATTTTTGTTAGAGGATTCAGAGATTTTGTTAAAATAAAACTGACCCTTTGTGGTCTCAATAAGAATTTTGTGCTGATATTTTAGTCGTAGTGGTTTAATCGAATGAGTCCTTTATCTACCACAAACCCTTTGGATATCTTTTGATCTATCATTAAATTGTGCCATGCTTAAATTAATCCTTTCTATAGGATATAACTAGCTGACCCGGCAAACGCCTTATAAATTATTTCTAGTTTCTAGATAAATTCTAGTGTAGACAAAAAGTTCCTTACTTATTATTAGTGTGTATGTGGTATATGCGTGAAATGGGCGAGGAGCGCTATGAACGATAAGGGAATATAAAAATAACAAACGCCAAACAATATTATTTTCAAGTTATTATAGTTTATTACTTAAAATTACATATCACATATTAATTACGATAGTAACCCTAACAAACAAAATCAATCTCTTAATGCTATAGCGTGAACAATATTTTTTGTTAGCCCATCTTTAGCGAGCACAAACAAACTGGACGGTTTACCCACTCGAGAGCATGCTACGTACAATTGTCCGTGTGAAAAACATGGTATACTCAAATCTAAGCCACAAATAGACATCGTTTGGTCTTGGGATTTGTTGATAGTCATTGCAAATGCCAATCTAGTCGGAAACTGAATTTGTTTGAATTGAATTGGCACATCTGTAGGTATGATAGGAATCCGTGGTATTAAATCATAAATTACGAAGCAAGATAATTGGAGATCCAGCTTTAAATTGTAATTTATGCGGTGGCATGCCTGGCAAATCCAGTGAGTTCACAAATTCTGTGGGAAAATTGACAGCTTCGCTCGCATCGCAAACTGTATCAATAGATTTTTATGATACCAAGTTCCCTGGCAACAACTGTTGTATCTTCAAATTTAAATTGTTGTCTGCATTTTTTGCTGCTAAAACAGCTCTTTCTGCAAGCCACTCATGATTTATGTACTGCGTGTGTTCATCAGGAAATATTTGTTCAATGAGAGTATCTTGCGAATCAGCGATTGTGCAGAAATCGGTCGGTAATTTTACGTATCCAGTTTCATCTGTAGCAACTTTTCCATCACCGATATCTAAGAGTTGTTTTGAGAATGTTTCAGCAGATGGATTTTGAAGCATTTGAACGCGCATATTTACTTTCAGCTGTATTAACATTACGCCACAATGTAGATGATTTTAAGCAAGCGTTGATCTCATCAGCGTATGTTGAACGTGGAATGACGGGAAGTGTTTGTCTGAAATCGCATGAAAGCACCAACAGAGTGCCGCCAAATAGTTTGTCGTTGTTTTTAATATCTTGCATTGTCCTGTTTAACGCCTCAATTGAATGTTTGTGTGCCATAGTACATTCATCCCAGATAATAATTTTACGCTGTTTTAGCACGGTAGCCATGGACGATTGTTTTTTAATGTTACACACTGCGTCAGGGTTATTTTCAATATTTAGTGGCAGCTTAAATACTGAATGAGCTGTTCTGCCTCTATCCAATAAAGTTGCTGCAATGCCCGATGATGCAACGGCCTATGCGATGCCATTATTTCATCGTATTTCAGCAAGAATGAGTGAAATAAGGAATGTTTTGCCAGTTCCACCCGATGCATCCAAAAAGAAGAACCCACATTGTCCTGCTGAAACTGCGAGCAAAATGCGGTCATAAATGGTTCTTTGTTCGTCATTCATTAGTGGGATATTGCGAGTAACAATCGCTGTCATTTCTACAGTGTTGTACTGCAGTTCACGATTCATTTCAGTGTTAATTAAATCAGGTGCAGTTCGATTTGGCGAATTCATACCGAAATGAGTGAGTGATAAGTTGGTAATGACAATGCAAAGATCCTCAATAGCAATCATTGCTTCATTGTACATAGCGTCGCTGAATGTTATCGTTAGATCGTTGCACCGTGTACGATGTTGATGCAATTGAATCTTTGTGGTTATCCCACAATATCTGTGCTCGAGCTGGGAAACATGTAGTCAACACTATAGCGAATAGTAGAGGAATTTGTATTGCTGTACAGTTCAATGCAGCTTCAGCAAGCATACACTCCCACTGGTTGTCGTCTTCCAGCAAGCCGAGTGCAAGGCATGCGTCTTTATATGTTGGATACTGTTGCCCATTCACTTTACGTAAATCTTGAAATGATAATGGGGCAGTAACATTAACCAACAACAGTCATTAAATAAATAGAGACATGCATCAACATTCATTTTTTTGTTCGAGCCCATGTGAAATATTGTGGTACTTGTGAATAGAGTAATGTTCTTGCAAATGCACCAAATAATCCATACTATTACACAATTCAAAAAATGCTGTGTAGTTTTAGGTGGATTTGTAGCACGATCAATCACTGTCTCGTTTGTGAAAAATACACGCTGACCGTTTTCAAGATGGACGGCTAAATGAACAACTACTGGATCCCGTTCATGACTTGAAAAACCAAAGACACGCCAAGCAGCTTCATTGGAGCTGATGTACCGTCCAATTTGGTAGAGCGTAATTTCATCGTTTTTATTAATTGGAGGAGCATTTACATTAGTATTTTCTACTCTAAACACAGCCATATCACTGCCTTTATGGACATACTTGCAAATATATTTAATGCTCTTCACAGAACAGCAAAACTTAACATTAATATGAGCATTGTATGTCTTGCTTAGAAGAGGTGAATACGGCACCATCCAACGATTGTGAATGTCTGTGTTGCTGATATTTTTAATAAATGAGTATCCGCCATTATCGGGACTTCTTCGACGATATATTGGATATTCGTCGGTATTTGTTATACATTTTCCATCTGCCATGCAAGGCGATGAACGATGAAGAGTATCACATGGACCATGGATCATGTTTGCTGTAACAATATCAAACAGCACTTGGTCAGTAGACGGATCTGGAATTTCCGCAGAAATGACACTATCGATTTCTTCAGGACGGATTTTGTCGATTAACCAAACCAAAATGTGCGCATGAGGTCCCCTCTTTTGCCATTCAACTGAATACAGCCAGCAAGTTGTGGGACCGAATACATGTAATTTAGTAATGTAACTTATTAGAGACTTCAACTTTTGTCTGAATACACGTGCTGTAATGTCATGACGATGTATTGCATTTTGGCCAGGCAATAGCAAAGATGTAATCTCTGGCCATTTTGGATTACATGTGAACGTGTAAATAAACACGGTCGTCCATATTCGCGCACGTAAGCCATAGCATCCTGTATATATTCTTCCATATGACATGGACTGCCTATATACGATGATGGTATTATTATGAATAAAATAGTAATAATTAATAGTTATTATGAGAGTTACACAGAAATAGAAAATTGATAATTGTGAACGTTACTACTACACTTGATACATAAACAATAATCATGGATGGCCGAAAACTGTGTAGGGAGTGAGAGAAGTCTTATGTGAGTAAAACAGGAGAAGGGATATATATTATATATATATATTTATATATATATATATATATATATATTATATATATATATATATATATATATATATTTATATATATATATATATATATATATATATATATATATATATATTATTTATATATATATATATTATATATATATATATATAATATATCAGGATTAAAACTTTAATAATAAAAATAAACGTTTATTTTCTTAAAAAACATTTTAGATTTTTAATCGAAGTACAGTTAAAAACACTGTAATTGATCAGTTATCGAGCGAGATGAAAAATGATTCAATTACTAAAATAGCCATACAAAATATGGGTTGATGATAAAAAAGTAAAATTTTAAGGTTGTATGTATTTTTTAATGCAACATTATAAAAAAATAAAAATAAAAAATTTCGTCGAAAAATTAAAAAAAAAAAAATAAGGGTGAACAACCCTTATCACTTAGGGGTATGAAAAATAGATAGTAGCCGATTCTCAGACCTATTGAATGCGCATATAAAAATTTGGTAAAGATCGGTAAAGCCGTTTCGGAGGAGTACGGTAACTAACATTGTGACAGGGAAATTTTATATATTAGATGTATTTTTTAATGCAACGTTATAAAAAAAACAAAAATAAAAAATTTCGTCGAAAAATTAAAAAAAAAATTAAGGGTGAACAACCCTTATCACTTAGGGGTATGAAAAAATAGATAGTAGCCGATTCTCAGACCTATTGAATGCGCATATAAAATTTGGTAAAGATCGGTAAAGCCGTTTCGGAGGAGTACGGTAACTAACATTGTGACAGGGAAATTTTATATATTAGATGTATTTTTTAATGCAACGTTATAAAAAAAACAAAAATAAAAAATTTCGTCGAAAAATAAAAAAATTAAGGGTGAACAACCCTTATCACTTAGGGGTATGAAAAATATATAGTAGCCGATTCTCAGACCTATTGAATGCGCATATAAAATTTGGTAAAGATCGGTAAAGCCGTTTCGGAGGAGTACGGTAACTAACATTCTGACAGAGAAATTTTATATATTAGATAATCTTGCTTCTACTCTAAAAATTATTCCCGAAATTTTTTTTCGAGATTTTAGCGTATCTGTGCAATCTCAAATCTTAAAGAAATACTGTGCAAGTGGTTTACATATCGAACCTACAAATACATTTACAACATACACAGATAATTTACAAATACGTTATAAAACCATCTATCACTTACAATCAATTATAACCACGTGTGTTTTTGTATAAAGGTATCTTGAAGAGATCCAGTTACCATCAAGACATCAATGTTGACAATACAGAAGTGTTTAATAGCTTAGCAATTAAGAGCGCTGTCCAATTGGAACTGATCCAAACGATCGATAATATAATTTTCTTTCCGGCGACTTCACGGAAGGAAGACGCCGAAACGCTGGCATTTGCGACTGCAGATATGACAGGAGGGGGATCTTTGACTGAATGTCAGAGGGACGAGCAAGGAATGTACAGATTGCTGAGCAGTCCGCATTTGTTGCAGTTGACTGAGTGCCTTCTACAGTCTCATAGGTAAGGTCATACCATCTAATAATATATCTTAAGAAAAACGGAACACCCTTTTTGTTCTTTTATTTATGTACGTAACTTCAGTTTTAATAGTTTGTTATGTCACTGTAAAAATACTTAAAGTCTTCTTTTTGTAATTAATAGTGACTCTTGTCATCTTGTCATTATTAATTTTTATTACTGCCATAAGAGATGTCATTTTAACATTAGTTAAAAGCTTGAAATGTTGTTTCTTTTTGCAGATAAGATCGATTGAGTTTTATTAATGAATTTTTGCTGATTGAAGAATAAAACATTATTACAAAATGTTTGCTTATAATTTAAGTACAAATGATAAAACTAAAATTTGAGTGTATCGTGAAGGCATTAGCGAGTGATAATAAACCGATAGCTTCACCGTAACCTCAACTGAAACCGAGAAAAATGTTATCTTTATAATGACAATTAATGTGCAAAATATTTCCCATCAAGAAAAAATACAGGCCACCGCAGCTTTTATAAAAGTAAAAAAAGAACGCTAACAAAAAAGGGTACGAAAAGAAAAGTGTGGATCACGTTAGATGAAGATACTTTGAAAGTGTATATGGATGAAGATGGAAATATACAGTTCAAGAATTTTTTACCGGAACACTAAAGTTCTCACACTAAAGAATTGCAAATGTTCACAACTGGGATTTGAATGGAAGCTTTAGAAGAAATTTTAGAGAGGATACTTACTTCAAATGAGAAAAAAAAATCTCAAACAGTAGTAAAAAACATTTGAGAGTGAATGTACCAGATGAACAATCGATCATAACACCGATAAAAGCGAAATTCTAAGATTATTTGTAGAAGGATCGATATTTTTAGATATTATCAATTGGTACAGTTCAAATCTATGCCCCGACTGCAGATAGAAAATATGACGATGAAGTCGAGAAGTTGTATGATCATATCCAAGACGTCTTACAGAAACTTAATAAACGTGAAATTTTATATATTATAGGCGACTTCAATGCAAAAATTGGGGAAGGTCGACAAGGTCAGACTGTAGGTCCTTATGGTTTAGGACAACCTAACGATCGAGGACAGAAATTGTATGAATTCTGTAAAGAAAACGATATGATCATTGCAAACGCCTGGTATAAACTACTCCAGCGACGACTATACACTTGGAAAGGCCCATTTGATGATGGCAATAACCCTGAGTCTTCAAGAAATCAAGTAGACTATATACTTGTAAATGAGCGTTTCCGAAATGCCGTCAAAAAAGTGACTACATATCGTGGGGCAGATATTGGATCTGATCATCAACCACTCGTAGCAGATATTAAACTAAGGTTAAAACGAATTTAGCGACAAAACCAAAAAACCAATGTACTTAACTTTGACGATATAAACATAAAACATAACATTAAAAAAGAATTTAACAATAGAATAAACTAGAAGATCCAGAAGAACTATGGAGTGAATTTTAAAACCAAGTTAACGAAATCTCCAGAAACAATGATAGAAAAAACTTAATCAGGAAAAATAACTGGATGACAGACGACATCTTGAAATTAATGGAACAACGTCGACTGATAAAATCTAATGTAACAGAATATAGACACCTGCAGAGAAGAATAAAAAAGGAGATCAAATTAGCCAAAGAAAAATGGATGAGAGAAAGGTGCGACGAAATGGAGGATGTAATATCTAAACACGACTTATTTAATGTGCACAAAAAATTGAAAGAAATGAGTAATATATTTAAAAAACGAGTTCCCTCTGTACTTGTTGACACTAATAACAAAATTATTGTAAATGAGCAAGAAATAAGAAAAGAATGGCAGCTGCATATATCAGAGTTGTTGAAGATGACAGGAATATATATATATATATATATATATATATATATATATATATATATATATATAGATGACAGAATAATATTGCTATAATATTGCCGTCAGTACAGTTAAACTGTACTGACGGCCCAGAAATTATGAAATGCGAAGTAGAACATGCTATAAATAATGCTAAAATTAGAAAAGCTTGTGGTCCAGATAATACACCAACTGAATTGCTGAAACTAATAGAGAATGATAACATAAAAGTAGTAGTAAGACTTTTTAATTCAATATATAACACCGGAGTGATTCCCGCAGATTGGCTCAAATCCATCTTTATCGTAATACCTAAAAAAACACAATGCGAGATAATGCCCAGAGTATCGATTAATTAGCCTAATGAGTCACACTCTTAAAATTTTCCTCAGAATACTTCACAACAGAATTAGACGCAAATGCGAAGAAGATCTTAAAGATACCCAATTTGGTTTCAGAAATGCTAGGGGAACCAGGGAGGCACTTTTTGCGCTTAACATTCTATTATAAAAATGCCGTGACCAAAGAAAAGATGTAACTGCATGTTTCGTGGACTTCAAAAAGGCATTCGATAAAGTACAGCATGTAAAATTAATGCAAATACTGAAAAATATTGGAATAGATGACAAGGATATTCGTATCATTAAAAATTTGTACTGGAATCAAACTGCTATCGTAAAAATTGTAGATAACTACACCGATGGAATCCCCATACAACGAGGAGTCAGACAAGGTTGCATTTTGTCGCCAACATTGTTCAATGTTTACTCGGACCAGCTATTTAAAAAGGCACTTGAGAGACAACCATATGGAATAAAAATCAACGGGGAACTACTTAATGTGATTAGATATGCAGACGAAGGTCTTCAAATTCTGCTTGATCGTATTCACGAGGTAGGAGAGGAAATGGGCATTAAAATAAACTCAAACACAACCAAATTTTTAGTGTTTAGTCGTGACCCACATCCCGACGCAAAGCTTCAATTGAACGGAGTCCAAGTTGAGAAAGTTCACAAAATGACATATTTGGGAACTGTGATAACGAACCAACTAGATCCAGACATAGAAAAAAAACGTAGAATAGCAATGACTAAAACTACGTTTATGAAAATGACGTCATTTCTTTGTAATAACCATCTCAGTTTAGAACTAAGGCAAAGAATGGTTAAGTGTTATGTTTTATTCTGTACTTTTGTATAGTACAGAAGTGTGGACGCTAAAAGTATCGATCATGAATAAAATTGAAGCATTGGAAATGTGGGTTCATAGACGAATGCTGAAGATACCTTAAACAGCAAGACAAACTAATGGAGAAGTACCATGGACGTATAAACATAGATGGACACAGCAATAAGATACCTTTAACACACAATGTTTTGAAGCTTCGATAGAATGTGATGCTTCCGCAAGAGCATAAGCGTGCTTGAATTTTTACTCGCTCGCGGGTAATTATTCAGATTTTAAAAATTGGAAGTAGTAATAATGTATAAAAACACGTTACAACACAAAGAATTAAAAAAAAAACGAGAGTTTAACTATTAACAAATCACGTCTTTATAGAAAAATTAAAATACAATTTTATTTGCTTTAAAATTAATACAATTAAATATAGTTGAATTCAAGTTAATTTTTTAATAGTATCAAAATAATGCTGCAATAAAAAATCTTTATGTTTTCTCCTTAATTTGCTACCCAAATAGTTCGATCGTCAATATTATTTGGAAACCTACATAGAAAAATAAATAAGTTTTATTCATTTCACTAATTTATTTGTATCCATGAGAAATATTAAATTAAAAAGGTACTAAATAGATCTTTTTTAATCAGATGATGTCTACTTACAATTTATAAATGTCTATCATATCTTATTCAATACATTAATGAACATGAATAAACCCAATGGTACGCCTATTAAAATGTAAACAAACACGCTTCCTCATTTCCTCATCTTAAATAATGTAAATTGTATGTACTTACAAATGAAATAAGAGATCGGGATGTAAATATTTCGTTTATTTTATTTCACTTTTCACAAATATCACTCAAAATACAGCCAAAATATCGAAAAATAACTTTTTCCTCATTTACTGTTAAAAGTAAACAAACATGGAACAGCATTTGAAGTTTGACGTAGATTCATAAGACAGAGAAATGTAAACAACCGTTGTCATTTATAAATAGTTTTCAGTGCTTCTACATATAAAATAATTGATTATTATACGCTATCATTAAATGATAATGCACACTATGTGCATACATGATATTTTGATTACAATTAAATATATTAATATAACCAATAAATTATTATTTTGGTTTGATAGCACCTGTAGAGTATAAAATATGGAGTAATATTTTCAGCGAATAAAGAAATTTTAAAACAAAACGTGACAACAGTTGAAGGTGTTCAGAATGTGACTTATTCAAATAATTTTATGTAAATAACTGAGTCCATCTGTGTTTATACGTCCATGAGAAGTACTAAGGAGCGTCAATAAGACAGAGAACTGCTAAAGACTGTTAAACATCGAAAAATGTCTTATCTGGGACATATAGTAAGGGGAAGTCGATATAAAATTTTACAACTGATCCTTAAAGGCAAAATAGAGGGCCGTAGAGGTGTAGGAAGAAAACATTCATAAAAAACATTCGTGAATGGACTCAGATACCAAATGCAGGACAATTATTCCATATTGCAGAAGATCGAGAAGCCTTCGCAATGGTGATCGCCAAGTATAATCCAGGAAAATATAACCAAGAACAGAATGTTTAAGCAGAAATTCAGCGAAAATCACAGAGAAAATGGTACGTAAATCAATTGAAAGAAAAGGAAGTAAGAAGTAGATTTGTACAAGAAGTATATACAGAGATGCAGTTCCAGGAACAACGAATGTAGAAACAGTGGAAAAAATCAAACAAGGAATTAACAATGCAGCAGAGAAAGTGGTTGAAAAAATAGAAAATAAAAGAAGAAATAATTCGTTTGACGATGAGTGCAAATTAGGAGTGGAAGAAAAGAATAAAACGAGATTGAAATGGTTAAGCGCAAACGAAGAAGAAGAACGAGAACAGTACAAAGATCAAGGGCAAAAGACAAAGAAATTGTTTAAATCGAAAAAAAAATCAAAAAGTAGACGAAATTATGAACGAGATAGAAAC